TGCCACATCCAGACTACCGTGTGAAACAAACTATCTCACTGTCACATCCAGACTACCGTGTGAAACAAACTATCTCACTGTCACATCCAGACTACCGTGTGAAACAAACTATCTCACTGTCACATCCAGACTACCATGTGAAACAAACCATCTCACTGCCACATCCAGACTACCGTGTGAAACAAATTATCTCACTGCCACATCCAGACTACCGTGTAAAACAAACTATCTCACTGTCACATCCAGACTACCGTGTGAAACAAACTACCTCAGTGACGCTGTTACAGCAGGGTGGCTTCCACACATGGCAGGGCTGACGGGGCGGGACACCCCATATAGGCCTGGTTTGTCATTTAAGTAGTGAGCTTTATAGTAGTATTTTATCACCTCTCTAGTTCAGTTTTTCATCTAGAAATACTGCCATTCCCCACAGCGCTGCCCACTTCAGGTCATGCTTTGCATACTGACATGGGAATGTGCAAGGTCAGGTCATGTGTCTTACCCAACAATCCAAATTGGGACATTTGAGCTAAACACATTATCCTTCTTTGCATGTGAGTCCTGCGGACTGCCTGCCTGTGGTGCTCCAATTAGCTCATAAGCTTCCAGTTCTCTGTGTCTCACCCTATGGGGGCCTGGGAAGGACAGGTTCGCTACAGAAAGTAGATTAAAAAGACCTTTTTGTCTCCCCTCCCACCGTTCCAGGTTTTGTTGTTCCAGGTAATTTCAACACTCAGTGGCTAAGCTGTTTCATTTTAATAGTTGGTTTTAGGTTGTTTGTTTTTTTTTTTCTGACGGCATCCATACCTGAATATTGCATTAACCATTCACCGCTACCACAGATACTTAATTGCTTTCTCACACATACTTACATACACACAATAGGCAAGTTATTTACTCCACATAGGCTGCTTCTGTTTCTGTGCAGCCTTTAAACACTTTTTAATTGTCAGATTATGCACCGGAAAGAATAGGAGAAGGACTCTTTTGAATATACTGCCTGGCATGTTCCTAGGGCCCCTGGAGGATGACTAGAAATGCCCCTGTGGGTTTCCGAGACTCTAACTCTACGGGAGTAGAGACCTTCC